CTGATACAGTGATAGTATGAGGTAACCGCTTTGTAGGAGTCACAGTTGCGAGCACGTAGACTCAGAAGGAAGTCATACTTCGATACTGAATTTCCCAGACTATATATATATATTACTATTGCTACTAACCGCATTTCTGGATCTACTAACCATATTACCAATTGTATGATTACGTCAATACATTTATTTGCTATATTTCATTCCTGCGTTTGTCATTCATTTGAGACCGGATTTCATCCCGGAATCCACAACAAGTTGTAGGTTACATTCCATCACCGCCGATCAGACTCTAAACTAACGACAGTCACGATGAACGGATATTCCCTCGAGGTGGTATCGTGGAGGATATTGGGATTCAAACACACATCCGACCTCAAGTGGAATTCCTCTGTATGATTCATCTCTAAATATGTAAGTAAAATGATCGGATCCTTGTAACGCCCCAGTATTGTTGTAGAGTAGTTTTCACAGTGGAGGCTTGAATTTCACTAAGTCGGTTCTAAATTAGGTTCGACGTACAAAACGTTAGGAACTTGAAATAAATAGTTAATGACGCATCAATCTAGTTGGGGTGGTTGATACTTCAATGTCCGACATCGACTGACTCACTCAACACCACTGAGCTCAACTGGCCACTGCTGCTACTACTTATTATCTGTGGGAGAGTCTATTACAATAGTATAGGTAATGTTCTGGTATAACAAGTGTGTATCTGAGTCCTCTTTCTACTCTGTACATTTATAAGAGACGGATCAGGTTTTAAAAGATTACTTTTGCCATATTAAGTCGCGATCTGCGAAGACCTAACTGTCATAGTCTTGATAGAGCTCAAAAGCGTCTCCGAGTTCTTGTTGGAGAAGAATTATCTTCCACCCTCTAATCTCTTTCAAACAGGCGGGATGTGTTGAGTCTCTCACTGCTCTATCGTTCGTAGCATGGAAAGTGCTTGAACCGACCATACTACTTACATAGTAGCAAACCACCAGCATTTCGTCCGTATTCCAATGGCGAGAAGGAAGTTCCACTC